TTAATTTATTCAGTAAAACCTCATTAAAGTGATTGTAAACATTTGATTTTTATTAAAGTAACAAACTCCTCATACTTACCTGCTCTGTGTAATGGTTTTGCACAGAGCAGCCCCGATTCTCCACTTCTCAGGTCCTCCGCTAGAACTCCTGGCCTTCCTCCCACTGAGTGTCCACCATAGCAGGCCACTTGCCTTGGCACTTGTACAGGCTCACTCCCAAGCCAGCTCTGTGTGTCCATAGAGTCAGAGAGCGGGGCTTGGCCCCACCCCCTGCTTGGCCCCACCCCCTGACCTCTCCTCACTCGCTGTGATTGACAGCAGTGGGAGCCCAATTTCCTGTGTAAGGGATTTCCGGCAAGACGAATCGTGATCGGAAATGCGTGATCGCGCACACGCACGGAGAAGATTGGCACCAGACGGCCTATTTAAGGAGTGTCTCTGCTCATGTTCAGTGCTGACTGGTCTTCAGCTCCCCCGTCTCCTGCTTGTTCCTGTATGATTCCTTTGTTGCTGACCCGGCTTGCTCCTCACCTGACTCTGATTGCTCTCCTGATACTGGTTCCTGACTTTAGCTCTGCTCCTGAACTTGGCTTTTCCTTGTGATTCTGTACCGTGCTGCCCGACTGTTGATGACCCTGGCTATTCCATGACATTGCTCCTGTCTCTTGTCCTCACTACCTGCCTTGCTCTGGTGCACGCCTGGCAATCTGCAAAACCTGCTCTACCTACTACTACTGTGCCAAAATCAGAGGATCATCAGCCTTCCAAGGTTTCCATCTGCAAGAGCTGCAAACAACAACTACTGTCACTCTTGTTTCCCTGGGTCCTAGACTCTCTCTGTTCCTACTCCAGCGGGGTCAGGACTAGTGACAAAAGTGAGGCAGACCTCATCATTTCAGTCTCCCATCAGGTACGTGACACCCTGCCCCGCAGTTGCACCTACACGAAAGGGCAGATATGCTTGTGATGTCATTGGCCTAATATGGCCACATGGTCATATAAGGTCAAGACATTGACCAAAATATAACAATGTGGCCATGTTAGGTCAATGATATCATGAGCATGCCCACCTCTTTGTGTACGGGCAGTTGCAGCGAAAGCCCTGACTACAACTGATTGGGCCAGTGGGGATGTGATCCTGTGAACACTTCCCATGAGTTAACACCAATCCGAGCTCATCCCTAATTACAATTAGGGTATTTTTCCTATTTTGTCCAAATTTGGGAATTTGACTTAACTTCAGCCAACTCCAATGTTGTGTGAAGTTGGGTTCAGACAGGAAGAGGGAGGGCAAGAAGGAGCCAATCAGACTCTGTTATGGTGCACATGTGCTCACAGGAAACATGCTGGCAGGAGAAGGGAGCAGAAAAATCAGATAGGTGACTTCAGCATTGTGCATCTACTCCTTTATTGTCCAATCAGCAGGTGTTTGCTCTTTACCAAATAGGAAAAAAAACAATGACCTGTCCTGCCACATTTATGTTTTCTTTTTGCTTTTCATTTGTCAGCTAGAATTATTTATTGCCCCAGAGGCATCTGGGGCTTTCTCTAAAAAAAAATATGGCCAGCTACAGAATAATGAGTGGAAATATAGCAATGTAAAAATCCAGGAAGTTCACAAACTGCTATTTTTTGCACGACTTAATATTTCAATGGAAATCTTTGTGGGGTGTAATCCAATTTGGGAATCCAAGTAGTTTCAATTTACAAATTGCACAGTTGTCTGAAAAGTGGACAAATCTATATGTATGTACTAAGGCAAATAAAACAAAATTATGATTGGCTGATTTGCTTGGTTTCTGTGACCTACTCCTTTTTCAGAAAGGTAGTAGGTCTTCCATAGACTTTCAAAGGTGGCACTTGGACACCTAGTTTGGATACAAGTGCGTGCATCCATGGAGAATTTGTCAATTCTGAAAGGATGACCCTCCTGCGCTAGGAATGGGGCCCTATCTTACAAGCCGCTGACACTAAACCTCCTAACAAGATGAGTGAATAACAATAAATAATATAAAGTGCAGCGCTAAATCTACAATCCCATATATAATAGTGATTATATATAAAAGTGCTAAAAAATCTGTGCAAAATATATCTGTGCATTAAATAATATACAATACAGCATTAAACTCAAAATCCTCAATATAATTATAAATATATAAATATATATACTAAAAAGTGTAAATAAATAATAGAGTGCAACGCGTGTATTCCCACTGGGAATATTAAAAGTGTTCAAAGTGATGACAATAAATAATATAAAATCACTGCAAATATATATTCAAAATAAGTCCATATGAGAAATAATGTCCAAACAAACAGACAAAGAAACTCTCAATCTTCATGCATGTGATCACAAGTGTCCACACTGTGTGAATCCAAACAGTGGCTACAGTGGCCCCTCACCTCCTTGCATAGACCCCACAGGGTCAGCTTGCCTTAAGAAAAAACACCACTCTGATGAATCACCGGATCCTCCCCAGACTCATATATTCTCTCAGCAGCCTCCTCCTCGGTTCATATATAGATAAAAACTCACATAGTGTAAAACTGTATTTATTCAATATACTGTATATATATTAAAAATGCCCACTCACATTTAAATCTTCAATTACAGGCTTTTTTACCTCATGCTATGAATGTCCTGCATGGGTATTACATATAGGGGTTTCAAAATATGGCCGCCACGCAGGAAATGACGTCACCGCACTCCCAGAATCCTCCGCGCGTACCGACGCGTTGCGTCACGATAAACACGTGACTTCCTCAGGGTTAACGCCCACCGAGGGCTGGATTCCTTAAATAGAACACTGGCTCCCAATCACATTAATGGGTGGACCCAAGCGGCCATTTTCCCGGAGTCCCCATTCTTAACACTGATGTCGGCCATTACTACGGTGACCTAATTAGATATACGGAGAATGGAAAGCACCAGTCAGGCCACATAATCGAAACCACCCCTATTTTACTCTAACCCAGGGGTGGGCAAACCTTTTGACTTGAGGGCCGCAATGGGTTCATATATTGGACCCGGGGGCCGGACCAAGAGTAGATGAATGATGTGTATGTGTGTCATCCATAGTAAGTATAGTAATATTCCCCCATAGTAAGCATAGTAATTAATCCCCCATATAGTAATTCATCCCCCATAGTAATTCGTCCCCCATAGTAATTAATCCCCCATATAGTAATTCATCCCCCATAGTAATTCATCCCCCATAATAATTCATCCCCCATAGTAATTAATCCCCCATATAGTAATTCATCCCCCATAGTAATTCATCCCCCATAGTAATTCATCCCCATAGTAATTCATCCCCCATATAGTAATTCATCCCCCATAGTAATTCATCCCCCATATAGTAATTCATCCCCCCTATAGTAATTCATCCCCCCTATAGTAATTCATCCCCCCTATAGTAATTCATCCCCCATAGTAATTCATCCCCCATATAGTAATTCATCCCCCATAGTAATTCATCCCCCATATAGTAATTCATCCCCCATAGTAATTCATCCCCCATATAGTAATTTATCCCCCCTATAGTAATTCATCCCCCCTATAGTAATGCATCCCCCTATAGTAATTCATCCCCCATAGTAATTCATCCCCAAAGTAATTAATCCCCCATATAGTAATTCATCCCCCATAGTAATTCATCCCCCATAGTAATTCATCCCCCATATAGTAATTCATCCCCCATATAGTAATTCATCCCCCATAGTAATTCATCCCCCATATAGTAATTCATCCCCCATAGTAATTCATCCCCCATAGTAATTCATCCCTCATATAGTATTTCATCCCCCATAGTACTATTCCCCCCCAAGTAGTAAGCCAAGTCCCCCCTGTGTCAGTTCACTTACCTTTGCCCCGCGCCGTTCCGGTCTTCAGGGGGGACTGTGAGAGGAGCCTAGCTCCCCTCACGTTCGTCACGCTGCCCCGCCTACACACATCCTGACAGCCATCCTGACAGTATCACGCTCCACGGGCCGGATTAAAAAAAGGTCCGCCGGGCCGTATACGGCCCGCGGGCCGTAGTTTGCCCATTGCTGCTTTAACCTAATATTGATACTTGTAGTCCACCTACATATGGGCTGCAATACAAACCCATAATAATCCATAGACTTTCAAAGGTGGCACTTGGACACCTAGTTTGGATACAAGTGCGTGCATCCATGGAGAATTTGTCAATTGTTAACTCACAAGAGTGGTGATCAATAAGAATAAGAAAAATTGATCATTTTCATGACTTCAAAATTTAGGGAAAAATCTGGAACATTTGACCAAATATCCCCATTTTGGTAAAATGGATTGAAGTAAATGTTGAATGTAAAATGAAATTGGTTTTTGGTGTTTTAAAGTGTGCAATAGGCTTAAAATATCTCCTGAGGGTTACAGAAGCTCCTTAAACTCCTTTGAACTACAATATGTAGGACCTGTTCTTGTGCCAAAATGACCCTTTATTCTCTTCATTATTTTACCCCCTCTGGTCACAGACTGTAGAACTGTGACATATCTCCAGTGACAGAATTGCCTAAACTCAGCCTGCATTGTCCTATGATAGTATTCCTTCTTTGTTATAACCATCTAGTTGTTGCTTGGTTTCTTCTGCCTCTAGTCATTGAACTTCTATCCTGTTAGGGCTAACAAAGGAGGAATTTCTGTTACAGTAAGCACCAGTTGTATTTCTTTTATTCTGCCACTAATGTGGTGGCACCAAGCATTTAATCACCTTCAACTAAGGATGAATAAAAAAAGAGTCTTCATTTCCTGGAAATTTTGGGAAAAATTTTGCCATTAAATTGTAACACTTTAATCACCACGCGTGACCAGTTATTGAAATATTAGAATATATATACCATATTTTTCACTCCCGTAAGATGCACTTTTTTCCTCCCAAAAAATGGGGGAAAATGTGCATGTGTCTTATGGAGCGGCCGACCCCGGTATTCCCCCCCCCTCCCCCCCCGTCTCTGTGTTAAAATAGCGGATCGGCCGCTCGGCCTCTTCTGTGCAGCAGAACCTTCTCCTCGGTCCTACCTGTTCTCGTTCCAGTGGTGTCCTCCCCATCTTCTCTCCCTGGTGCCGGCATCTTTAGTGTGGGCACCCAGCTGTGACAGCTTGTGGCTTCAAGTCAGGTGCCCCCCGCGCAGGCATGAGAAGCACTATGCTTTGTGAATGGTGCTGTAGTCTTCTGGGACCTGTCACGTGTCCCAGACGACTATGGAGAAGGAGGTCTTTGGTCATCTCCTGTAGTATGTCCGCAGTCTCTGGTCATCTCCTGTACTATGTCCGCAGTCTCAGGTCATCTCCTGTAGTATGTCTGCAGTCTTTGGTCATCTCCTGTAGTATGTCTGCAGTCTTTGGTCATCTCCTGTAGTATGTCTGCAGTCTCTGGTCATCTCCTGTACTATGTCTGCAGTCTCTGGTCATCTCCTGTAGTATGTCTGCAGTCTCTGGTCACCTCCTGTACTATGTCTGCAGTCTCTGGTCACCTCCTGTACTATGTCTGCAGTCTCTGGTCATCTCCTGTAGTATGTCTGCAGTCTCTGGTCATCTCCTGTAGTATGTCTGCAGTCTCTGGTCATCTCCTGTAGTATGTGTGCAGTCTCTGGTCATCTCCTGTAGTATGTGTGCAGTCTCTGGTCATCTCCTGTACTATGTCCGCAGTCTCTGGTCATCTCCTGTACTGTGTCTGCAGTCTCTGGTCATCTCCTGTACTATATCCGCAATCTCTGGTCATCTCCTGTACTGTGTCCGCAGTCTCTGGTCATCTCCTGTACTATGTCCGCAGTTTCTGGTCATCTCTTGTAGTGTGTCCGCAGTCTCTGGTCATCTCCTGTACTATGTCTGCAGTCTCTGGTCATCTCCTGTACTATGTCTGCAGTCTCTGATCATTTCCTAGACTATGTCTGCAGTTCGTTGGTTCTGAATATTTTTTTTTCTTGTTTTCTTCCTCTAGGTGTGTCTTATGGTCAGGTCAGGTAAGTCTTATGGAGCAAAAAATACAATAACAACCGATCTCAAGAAATATAGTAATCCCATATATTTAATACTAATATCTAATTAAACTAGAACAATCAATAATCACTGATAAAACAGTTCAAGTCCAGCCACTGCCATTGTCACAAAAATCATTGATTGTAATTGATAAGGTGAAATTAGTGTGTTTGTTGTTGTTTTTTAAGGGTGCAGTTAAATTATATCTCTAATCAAAAAGGGTTTTTTTTAGCTTTTAATAAAGAGAGGAAGGGTTAGACCAAGAAAAGGATGCCTCCATACTTTCTAGTTTGGTGGTGAATATATGGGACTTTAAATGTGCCACATAGAGATCACATACAGTACGTGAATATGTATAAAATTGCCACAATCTTTGTATACAGTTAAAACAAAACAGACTGGAATATTAAAGAATGACATTGTATGGATCATATACAAAGACTGACACAATATAGTATATTCAATTATTTTTTCCGTGTGGCATCCTGGATGTATGCGTTTTTCAAAAGACTTGCTTTCTTAGGATCTACGCCTTTTATATATAGAACAAATGATCTGCAAAACTTACTTTGGTAAGGATAATAAAACAAAAACTCTATAACTTCCCCCAGAAAAGTCAAACTTTCACCCTTGAAAGTGCAAATATCATAAACCTTTTCAATAATCTACGTTAACCTCCTTAGCGGTATTCCCGAGTGTAGCTCGGGGTAACATTTCAGTACCAAAAGCGGTAACCCCGAGCTACACTCGGGCTTACCATGCAGCACTGCTCAGGCATGTGTTCTTCACTTACCTTACCCTGCGCTCCCGCGATGTGTCCCCTGCAGCGTCCCCGGCCATCTCCTCCGGCCGATGCCGGCATCCGGCTTCTGTGTCCTGTCCCTGTGACGTCGGGACGTACGGGCACCGGCGGCGGCGGCGGCGGTGGGAAATTTAAAAATTTTAAAAAATGACATTTTTTTTTTTTTACATTTTACATAGTAAAAACATTGCTGTCTCAACCAATTTCACATACATTTTGTCCCGAGTGCTTTGTCCGGCGCCCTGCCTGCATTTTGTCTGTTCTTTCTGCCTGGAAACTGAGAAACGTCCATGGCGTCCAAAAAGCGTCCCTTTAGGTCAAAAGCGGTTTAGATCAGCTAGAGAACAGCGATAGTAAATCAGAACCACTTGCAGAATTGAGTGATAATGATTCGTGGGGGAAAAATTCGTCATCAGACACTGAAAACGATTTTGCGACTTTGCTCAGCAAGGTACGAACTTGGCGCTATATTTCAAATTTCAGTGTTTTTGGTTTGATTATATTATTGAATTAAATTTTTTATTATTATTATATTATTTTTATGATTATTTATTAAATTATAATTTATGATTTTGTGTTTCAAATTTTATCATACCTGGGATGTTTACTAGACAACTAGACTTGTTCGGACAGATTTCAGTGAGTTTTTCCTAAAAATTACAGGCCTACAATTAAAAAAATACATATTTCCATGCAAAAAAATGGTACCGCTTTCAGCACCAAAAATCTGAAATAATCATACCGCCAGGGAGGTTAAACGACCCTGACGCATTTCGTCACTTCCGACTTTTTCACAAGGGAAAAAGTCGGAAGTGACGAAACGCGTCAGTGTTGTGACGCCAGACGCTAAGCCGGAAGGAGCAGCGCGGCCATTTTGAGGTGGTCTCAGCATAGAACGGTCTAAATCGAGAATGGACGGTATTTTTTCATAATGTAAGCTGCTAAATAAAATTGTGTTTATTATATATATCACTCCACTGAGTCTGCTCCTATCTGTCCTGTGAGGAACGGGGATCCCAATGCCCATTGCTGCAGGAGGAGGGGATTCCATTGTGTACTCCTATTAAAGAAAAGCATACTCCCCAGTGAAGGCAATTCTATCTGGCATATGGGGATTTCAGAATGCTTTGAAAGCAGAAAGAGGGTAATTGTATATTATCCTAAATGTAGAGTGGTGACACTTATCAGATTTGGCACTATTTTACACTGATCACTAAGTGTGTATTTGTGGCATTTCACGTATTGCAGTGGTGGTTTCACAGGACCACTAGTGAGTTACTTTGGTAAGGGTTAGACTCTGTCAAGTTTGTATTGCTGTCTATGCTCCCTTCACCTTCTTAATTTGTTTTGGTGATGGTTACCACCAAGAATACAAGTCAGGCAAATGCTAAATGTTAAAGTTATCCTCAGAACAAAAGGATGGGGGGGAAATGGTTCAATGAGGACACCTGTTCCTGGGACAAATGTCTAAGAGGGGAAATCACCTCACTTTTTAGAGATTTCCTCTAATTTCCTGATTTGTCTCTGGCGAAGCTATATTTTCTCCAGCAAAAAAATGAAATCATGACCCAAACCCTGGTTTTTATTGCCCACTAGCATGTGAACAAAGCCTAAGGCCTACTTTACAGTGGCATTGAAAGCAGGCATTTGAGGGGCTTTTTAATGGTCCTCAAATACCCATGCAAATGATACTATCGGCAGTGTTGTTCGCATTATCAAAACATGAAGCTTTAGCATCTCGTTGCATTAAAATTGAAGCCTCATGTCGAGTCTGGAGGAGTTTAAACCCTTTCAACTCTTCATCTCAAATGTGCATCAAGTCCTCTATGGGTACAGAGCTGGGCCTTCCCATGAAATGAGCTCATCTCCAACTTGGTTCTGTTGTGCTCCACACTCAAAGAGACACTCAGACCCATTCAGCAAACTGGTGATTTGATCTTGATCTGATCCTCTGGTTATTTTATCATGAGCAGAATACTCCTTTAACAACTTGACAGAGCTGTGCCGATAATGATAGTAGACATATCTGACCTTTCTGATCCTCGAAGAGGCAAAAAAACATAACAAGGGCAGCTATTATCATCAACATACTTATTGCTTGCAAGGATTATTCTCTTTTCTGTATTAAGATAGATGATGTGATTAACATAATTAAAGTCTTGGGGCCCTGGAGCTTTCTTGTATAAGACAGCAATTACTAATAGCTCTGAGTACATATCTGTCTTTGAAGTGTTTTTTTTTATCTTCTGTAAAAAAATCGAGGTTTCATTGTTGTTTTGTTAGTTTGCTTAATGTACAAGAAAAAAAAAAAAACTTGCTAGGACATCATGTAAACTAACTAATAATTCTGCCTTTAAAGTCCAACTCCGCATTTGTTACAGAAGTAAAAAATCTCTTGCCCAGTATGTGATGAAAACATCAGCTTTTGCTGCAATTGTCACCTATTCTCTGGCGCTGTCCATCGAAGACTCTCCATTCAGAGGTCCTACTGCTGGTTCACTTTTTGATTGAATTGTACCTAGTGGGTATTTATAAAAGCATTTTCAGAGCTATCCATCCTGCTAAACTGCATGTGTATTCTGTGCGAATGGGGAAAAAAATGAATTTTATTAGGTTATTTTGTCAAAGGGTCAAATGTTCTTTATTCCTGCTTTTTATTTATTTTTTTCATTCATAAATGAAAAAAAAAGATCAGCCATACCATTATTGACACTCACCATGACTCATCGAGGAATGGATGCCACTATTATTATTATACAGGATTTATATATTATTATTATTATTATACAGGATTTATATAACGCCAACAGTTTGCTCAGCACTTTACAATATAAAGGGAGACAATACAGCAACAATACAGTTCAATACAAGAGTAATAGGAGGGCCCTGCTCCTTGGAGCTTACAATCTAAGAGGGAGGGGCTAGTGGCACATAAGGTAATAACTGTGGGGGATGAACTGATAGGAGGAATAGAAGATTCAGTTATTAGCTGAAGGCAGGATAGGCTTCCCTGAAGAGAGAGAGGTTTTCAGAGATCGCCTAAAAGTGGGCAGAGTAGGCGATAGTCAGATAGATTGATGTAGAGAGTTCCAGAGGATGGGGGGGGGGCTCTGGAGAATCCCTAGATACGAACATGGGAGGAGGACCAGGGGAGCGAGAGAGCAGGAGGTTGTGCAAGGAGCGGAGAGGACGGTTTGGGTGATATTTAGAGACAAGATTGGTGATGTACTTTGGGGCAAAGTTACAAATGGCTTTATACATTATTGTTAATGTTTTGATTTTTGTTTGTTGGGCAATGGGAAGCCAGTGGAGGGATTGGCAAAGAGGGGTGGAGGACACTGAGTGGAGGCCAGTGGAGGGATTGGCAGAGAGGGATGGAGGACACTGAGTGGAGGCCAGTGGAGGGGATTGGCAGAGAGGGGTGGAGGACACTGAGTGGAGGCCAGTGGAGGGATTGGCAGAGAGGGGTGGAGGACACTGAGTGGAGGCCAGTGGAGGGATTGGTAGAGAGGGGTGGAGGACACTGAGTGGAGGCCAGTGGAAGGATTGGCGGAGAGGGGTGGAGGACACTGAGTGGAGGCCAATGGAGGGATTGGCAGAGAGGGGTGGCAGATATGGAACGGTTAGTAAGGTGGATGAGTCTGGCAGCAGCATTCATGATAGACTGAAGAGGGGATAGCCTGCAATTAGGTAGGCCAATGAGGAGGGAGTTACAATAGTCAAGGCGAGAGATAACAAGGGTGTGAATAAGTTGCTTAGTGGTTTCCGAAGTTAAGAACGGGGAGTATCTTGGAGATGTTGAGGAGGTAAAGTCTAAAAGATTTGGACAGCAATTGGATTTGGGGCTGAAAGGACAGATGGGAGTCTAGG